AAATCCTATTCATATACTTCCACTGAGAAAAGAATTGGAATGGAAGGAGCCAGGAAGACAACCAAAATATAGGGGAAACCAAGAAAGAAAGATCCGAAAAATCCTTAACAGTAAGACACGAAGAGAAAGAAAAGTACATACTAGGTAAACATGCAACAGACAAATATAAAAAAGTCAATTTATTTTTGACAAAGCAACAAAGGTAATACAATAGATAATACAATCAAGTATATCAAATAGTGCAAGGATTGGCCATTCATAAAGGAAAAATGAACCCTAGACCTGAATCTCACACTTTGTTAGTTAATGCAAAGCAGACCAGATCTAAAAAGTTTCTATATTATCCGTACAGCAGCTGCCTCCCAAGGGAAGGTTAAGGCAGCAAGAGAAAAGCTGCAAGGGAGCCTCCCTGTGCCCTTGTGTATTTTAGCTTCTGAACTACAAATATTTGGAAATCCACGCATAAAATTAAAGTTCCTAAAAATGTTTTAAGAGAAAACATTCAGGACCCTTGGGTTAGGCAAGATTTTAAAGGGCATACAGATTGGACTTTCACAAAAATTAACTTTTGTTCTTCAAATGAAATTGTCAGGCAAGTGACAATAGAAGTTATGAACTAGGGTAAAATACACGCAATTCACATATCTAACAAAAAATATTTGTATTGAAAAACTATTAAAAGTGGACTGGGCATGTAACTCAGCTGCTACAGTGCTTACCTAGCATGCTAGAGACCCTAAATTCAATCCTCAGGAAAACACAAATCTGGCATGATCTCCAGGAATAGAGGCAGGTTTTCAGACATTCCCAACCACCTGCAGCTACATAGTAAGTTTGAGGCTGGTCTCTGCTACACAAATAAAGTTAGCAATGAACAATCCAGTTTTTTAAATGGGCAAAATATTTCAGTGTTTTACTAAAGGTAAATGAAGGGAGAGTTATCAATGTAGTTAAGTTGGCATAATTATACATGTTGTGTATAATATCCCAGCTTTAGGAGCTAGCTCCAAGAAGACCAGGATGTTTAAGAATATTCTCTACTAACAGAGAGTTTGAAGCCAGGCTGGGCTAGAATCTCTGTCTGAAAGGGAGGAAGAGAGTAAAAATGGCTGATAAGTAATTAGATGATGTTTAATATGATTAGTCAATAGAAAAATGCAAACTAAAATCACAATAAGACAATTACACACCTACTGGGAAGGCTATACAAGTGTGAACACGAGTGTGAAAAAATTAGCCCTAAAAAACCCAGATGCAAAGATGTGGGATATGAAATATGCCAAAAAGGCAAATCTAGATAAAAATCAGACTGTGGTGGGAACAGGCACTGAAAACAAACAAGCACAATCTTTTTAGAAAGATAAAAATCTGAAAATCTTTCCTAATGGCTTCACTAAAAATTACTGAATTATTCTCTTTAAAAACTGGTTAATTTTGCCCAGGTGGTGGTGGCACACGCCTTTAATCCCAGCACTCAGAAGGCAGAGGCAGGTGTACCTCTGTCAGTTCCAGGCCAGCCTGGTCCACAGAGCTAGTTCCAGGACAACCAGGTCTACACAAAGAAACTCTGGGGGTGGGGAGGGTGGCGGAGACACCTGGTTAATTTCTAACATCCACCTTAAGTGTAGAATTAGGCACAGAAAATCCACTACTGTATGACCTATCTAGAATCTATAAAAAAGTTAAAATCATAGAAGTAAAGGAATAGTTAAAAAAAGAGCTTGCACCTTGAGTGGTTGGTTAATGGAGACTAGGAAGTTGATTAAAATGCTACAAAATTTTAGATAAGAGGCATGTCTGAGATTTAGTAAACATCAGGATGAGCACAGTCAATAATATATATTTCAAATTATCACCATTACATTTCAAATATTTCACCATAAAATGATAGGTAAAAGAAAGGATATGTTAGTTTGATTTAATCATCCCACATTGCATGCAGGTCAATGTATGACACTATACTCTATAAATGTATAAATTATAACTTGCCAATTAAGAATATTAATTTTAATAGCTTCTCCATGTAGGCCTATAGACAATATTTAAGTTCAAAAGTAAAAACTTGAGCATACTATTTATAAAACACACAAAATATAAGATGCAGGATCAGGCATACTGGAGTAAAACATAACAATACATTTCTTATGATAAATTTCCAAGAAACTACTTAGTTCTTGGATTTACAAGTATTATCCTAATTACAAAAGTCAAGTGTAGCACGAATCCTAATTGGTCTTAATAAAACCCAGATCCAGATATGGGGTAAACGCTGAAAGATCACAGAAGCAGAGCAGCCAGCCACTAGAAAGACTTCTTACCTCTACCGAATCCTCAGACTGAATGGCTCTGAGATCCTGTCTCCACTCTCACCTTATGTTCCTGTCTCCAGCTCCCTATTATTGGGATTAAAGGTATGAGCCACCACCACTGCTTGGCTCTGTCTCTCTTTTAGATAGATTCAATCTTGTGTAGCCCAGAGTGGCCTTGGACTCCTGATCTTCCTGCTTCCTCTTCCCAAGTGCTGGGTTTAAAGGTGTGTGCTGCCACTGCTTAGCCTCTATGGTTAATCTAGTGGCTGGCTCTGCCCTTTGATCTTCAGGCATACTTTGTTAGAGAACAAACAAAATATCACCACAGTCAAGCTTAAAACATTAGTGAACAGAAAACAGAATAGCCCAATAATTGCAGTAAATAAATAAGAAGAATTTTACAGCCACAAGAGACATTTGCTTTAAAGATGACTGGGTTTTGAATAATCGCAAGACATTCAATTTTCACATCTAATCAGTTAATACTACAAAACTAAAACTCATTTGCATAATTGTAAAAATTGCATATAAAGCACAAGAGATATGGAAAGCTCAGAAATGGTAAAGTATAGGTTATAGTCTTTAACTCAGAAAACAGAATTTTTTTAAAGACCTATGATGGGCCAATATTTTACTTCATTTGCATG